TTGATGTCATTCAAAGGCAATCGGGTAATTCGGAAGAGCAACAGGGCTTCAGAGAGTTACTCTTGAGGCTACGAGATGGAGAATGCACATTAGAAGATTGAAAAAAACTCTGCACACGCTTCGAAAATAATCTCAATAGAATAGAGCGAGATCGATTTTCGGATGTCGTATTTATACTAACGAAATGGGCCGATGTAGACAAAGTTAATATCAAGATGCTCGTCTTGTTAAACAGGCCAATAGCTGAAGTCGAGAGGCTAAAAAGGCCAATTTGGATATAGCGAAAGGTCTTGAGGCTCGTTTGTTACTGGCGAAGGGTTGCCACATCATGTTAAAAGCCAACTTATGGACTGAGTGCGGGTTAGTCAACGGCTCAATGGGTACAATACAAGATATTATATATGAGGAGCAGAGCCCACCTTCACTTCCTACAGCAGTTTTCATCAGTTTTGACCAATATGAGGGACCTATTATCACAACAACCAAGGGAGTCAACGTTGTTTCGATCATACCTATTAAATGCACTTAGGAAAGTAAATCTGAAACGCAATGTTCTCAGCTTCAGGTACCAATATGTCTTGCTTGAGCAATCACAGTGCATAAGAGTCAGGGACTCACCCTACCAAAGACTAAAATAGATCTTAGAGACAAAGAGTTCACAGCAGGTCTTTCATTTGTTGCAATTTCTCGAGCTCGTTCACTTAACGATATCTGCTTCAACTATTTCTCCTTCGAGAAGCTCTAGCGTATAAAAACTTGCAGAAGGCTGCAAGAAAGAAAGGTCGAAGAAGAGCGTCTACTTTGTTATTGTAAGAAAAAATAATAAAGTTTTCGCGCATTTTTTGTTTGTTTACAAATATAGTAGTCATAAATAAAAATGATTTGGCGTAATTTTTTTTTGTTTTATTTTTATTTATTTTGTTTGTTGATGGTGCAAGGATAATTACTTTATTTAGACAGGATGTAACAGTACGACCAATCACAATCAGCTCAAGCTGCGAGTGGGCGGACAACAGGACACTTCATGTAATATGTGGCTAGTATGTGAAAGTCCTTCGTTTCACTCTGGACTAATAATTCCATCTAAAAGACGATTTGTTTCTGGTTCTTTGTAATTTTTTATCAATTGTATTGTTTCATGATCAGTATTTAGGTCATCAAACGCTAATATATCATAATATTAATATATTGAATTTTCATCTTTTTCTCGCTTTGCTTTAGCAAAAATTTCTTACTTTAATTGCTTCAAAATCTTCTCCTTTTATATATCCTTATATTTTCTTTGAGCACTTCTTTTATAATAAAATTCTTCTCCTTCAGTATATTTAGTATGCTTTCACTTCTTGCATCACGAATTCTTGGAGTAAATCTTAAGATATAAATAAACCTTTCCTTCTATCACAAGTATCATTAACGAATTCTACATTTCTATATACTTGTATTCTGCCACATACACTTTGGATTTTCTTCGGAAGATATCCCGTTATTAGTGTGTTCCAACCCTTTGATAATGCAGTGATAAAGCTCAATACACCCATAACAATAGGATTAGGCATGTCTTCTCTTAATAAACGAAATTGTGTATCAAGTAATTTGGCAGTTCTATAAAGTAAAAAATGTAGTGCGTTATAAAGAGGAAAAGGTAAAAGGGAGCGCGATCACATAATATTTCTTTTTTTTGTTGGAACGATAAATAATTTTAAAATTTCTTCAAAATCATTACCATGCCTTTTACCATATTCTGACAATTCACCAGGAGATCATAAGATCTTACTACCTTAGCTTTTCTAGCCAGTTCTTTGTAACATAATGAATTTGTCTTTTGAATTTGGCCATCAATTAATCTAATACTTCCATACTTTAACATTTTGTCTATGATTTTCATTTCGTTTTCTAGCAAAATGAAAAAATATTCTCTGGTTTTCAAATTATCAATTGACGGGTTTTTTGCATTAGCAGTATGATGTTGAATAGATTGTTGATAATTGGTCTTTAATTTTTGTAAATCGTCGGAAATTGGTGCATCGTTTCTTTGATGGATGCTTCTTTTATACGACGTAACAATTCTGTAAGGAAACGTATAATTATCAAGAAAAACATTCCTTGACAGAATTAAAATTTATTAATAGTAGTATTAATCAATGTATTGCGTTCAGAAGTAACTTACGAGGATGTATAATCTTTTATGATTCAATAAATTTTCAACGTTATTTTGATTGTCAATAACATAATTTCGTTGTACAAATTTCTCTAACATTTTCATTACGTTTTCATAAAGAAAAGCATTCTATGATTTTAAATTGTTAATCATGAGGAAAGAAATATTTTATAATAATAATTTAATAATGCTTACAAGATTGGTGTAGACAATAGTAAAGATGGCATAAACATTTTTTCTAAAATAAATTCAGTAATAGAAATTCTACGTAACTAGACTGTTTCGTCCGAATATTTTAATATCATCTTGATCCAAAGGTCTTTCCTTTATATTTATTTCTATACAGTAATACATTCCTCATTGGTAGTTGGTCACTACCATTGTAGGTTAATTCAGAGGAACTGAAGTTTGCCATAGTAGTATCTTGTTGTGCTTCCTTTATTTCTGAAATACTGAGAAATGAAATTTGTGGACTATATGCACGATTACTAACATTTTCAACTTGTCCATAGTTAGTGTCCTCATTTCTTTTATGATGATGAAGTTATTATCTCGTATTTCACGACTCCCTTTTGTTGTAACTGTTGGCAGCTTGCTCTGCTGCTACCACAACCATATCTAGGGCTAATAATTTTGTCTTTTTGTTCTAACTAAGTATGTACGATAAATAAATTATTAAGGGATTATTAGTCTTTTATATACTTTGATATGATTAAAAATTAAAAAATATTATTTTTTTACTGAGGTGTATTTTTTTTTGCAGAAATATAATTTTTATTTTAGATGAAGATGGAGATATTATTTTTTTCTAAAGACACTTCCCATATTATTTAAATAGAATTTTGTTTTACTGTTTATTGTTTACAAAAATGGAATTTAGGTCAGGAAATTTAATTTAGATTCTTGTGACATAAATTTTAAAATTGACGTGTCACCAGTTTTTTTTTTTTTTATTTTTATATTGTTATATGTTATTATATTCTGTATTACATAAATAATTTTTTTGTATTTAAATAACAAGAGTTTGCAGTTTGCAGGGGACTTTGTCCCCCGTTTAGCATTAAGTAATTGATTGTGTAATCAATTCAATTAAACTTTATAATTAATACTTTCAAAAATTTGGTTTTATATTTTTATTTATCATAAATAAAATTTATTGATAAAAAGGAAGTTTAATTTTATTAATTAAATTAATTTTTGTAATTTAATTTTTCTTTTCAGTTAATTATTTTTAACAATAAATTTTTTAAATAGTGAATTAAAAAAATAAATATAAAAAAAAATCATGGATATCAATTAAAATATAATATTTAAATTTAAATTTTTTTTTTTAATCCTATTTTATACTCATGATTTTATTTTAATGATTTTTGTATATTTTAATTTAATTTCTATTTAGTTTTTTTTAATAAGCATTATTAAAGTTGGTTAAAATTTAACCAATAATACTAATAGCATTTTATATACTTTTTTATTCTATTTAAATTTTAAAAAAAATAATTAAAAGTCATTAAATAGCATAAAAAATAAATTTGTGTATCATTAGTATTACGAATTCCATAAATACTAAACGAACTTTAATGAAAATTGAGATTTGAGTAATATTAGACTCGTTGAATAATTTTACTTAGATCACAAAAGATTTTCTATACTAAAATAATCTAAAATGTTAAAAAAGTGAATTTGTGTATCATTAGCATTATGAATTTCACAAATACCAAACTAACTTTAACAAAAATTGAGATTTGAGTAATATTGAACTTATTAAATAATTTTACTTAAGGTATCTTTATATTAGTATTAACATTTGGCTATTTAGCTAATATTTAGCCATGACCATTTGATTAGATTTAAGTTATAGCCATTATCTATTTGACTTTAAATTATAGTTAACTTATTCAACAGATAAAGTAACATTAACAATGTAATTATAAAATATTTTTAAAGAAAGTCATTAGCAAATATTAAACATTAAATAAATAAAATAATAATTAAAAATAATTTAAAAATAAAACTAAATTTTTTTGACTATTATTTTTCTTTTATTTTATTATAAATAATTTATATTTTTTTTTATTTTTCCGTTAATTTTTATTTTTTTTTATATTTACAATCTTTTTTTTTATTAAATAAGAAAAATAAATAAATAAATTACATTAAAAAAAAATAATTAATATAAAATTTATCATTAAAAATCAAAATTAAATAATTAAATTAATTATAAGTTAATGTTAAAATTAGGATTAGGATAAGATTTAGAATCAGATATATTTTTATAAAAAAATAATGATAAATTAATATTAATATCAGGGTTAGGGTTAGGTTAATAATTAGAGTTGAAATATTTATAAAAAACACCAATAAATTGTATACTTATTTTAAATTTTTATATGTTAAAACTTTAAAAAAATTGTTTTACAATATATTAAGACATTATCTAGGTAAAACTGCTAGTTTAATAATAATAATTCATTGTAAAAATTAATTTTTTTTATAATTTATACAATTTTATAGTTTAATATTTATAATATTTTATTTATTTAAATATTAGACATGAATATTTGTAAAAAAAGTTTACATTATTTTATATATTTGTAACTAAAATCTAATTCAACTTTACTTTATGTAGTTAGAATTTTAATGATTATAATGCGTGATATGCTAAGAATTATATCCAAAAATAGATTCAATTATAATTGATTTCAATTTTATTAAGTGTTATAATTAAGGTTACTAGACGAAACATAAAGATTTTGTAAGTTATCTAAATGGAAAAAGGTAAAATTTAATAAAATTAGATTAAATTCTTATTAAAAACCTGCAAAATTCTGAAAAAAGTAAAATTATATCAAAGCTTATAAAAATGCGAAACTATATTAAAACCTTATTAAAATTAATGAAAATATAGTTTAGATATTTTATCAAATCTAAAATGAGTTTAGATAAGTAACTTTAGTTATAACTGAAATTGATTTTTATCTAAAATTGAAATTTGAAAATCAATTATTAAAATTGGAATTTCAATTTCAGATATCCTTTTTGTTATATAAAATTCAATTTTAGTTATAATCTTATTAGTCAATTTCTATATACTATTTTAATTTAATTAAATTTTAATTTCAAATATGAAACTATCTAAAATTAGAATATCTGAAATTAAACTTTAGACAGAAACTGAATTTCAGATACAAGAATGTTTGAAATTAAGATATTTGAAATTCAATTTCAGATAGAATTTGAATTTCAGATATAAGGTCATCTGAAATTGAGATATCTGAAATTAAATTTTAGATAGAATCAGAATTTCAAATATAAAATTAAGCTTCTATCTAAACTTCAATTCAAATAGAATCTGAATTTCAAACACAAAGCCATCTGAAATTGATATATCTAAAATTAAACTTCAGATAAAATTTGAATTTTATATAAATTACAAATTATGTATCTATAAATTAAAATTAAAGTAATATAAAGAATCTATTATTTATATACTAGTTAATATTTGCTGCACTGCAAGCAGGTTAAAAAAATAGAATCATTAATAATTAAATTATATCATAAAATTTTTGGGATTTTTTTATTTATTAAGTTATAAAATAAAAAGTATTTATTTAATAGTTAAAAGATAAATATAAAATTATATATTCAAATAAATTATAATGTATATTTTAGAATAAAATAATTAAAAAAAAAAGAAATTCTATAATATGATATGTATAATTTATTTTATTTTGATATTTAAGATTTAAGTACTTTATTATATATAATATATTTTGTTTAATAGATTTTATCATTATCTATAAAAACTCTAATATTTTAATATAAGATTATAGTTAATTATATAAAAAAATAGTTTCAGAAAGATAAATATCAAATTGATTTAAAGTCATTGATCTTTATTATAATAAAACTTTAATATATTTATTAATTCTTATCATTTAAACTAATTATTATAAATTATAAATATATATCTAAAATCATTATAATAATATTAGATTTTAAAAACTTTAAGAATAAAACAATTAATATTTTGAATAATAATATAAAAAATAACATTATAAATTTCATATTTTGTATTTTATTAAAAAAAAGGCTTAATAGAAAAAATTTGCTATGGTTTTAAAATAGACAAAATGAATTCAATTAAAATATAGTAAATTTTAAATTGTATTAAAATAGGTATTTGGTTGACTAAAGAATAGATTTCAATTATTAAAAGAATTATGAACTAAAAATACTAAAATAGTAACTGATTTAATAGAAATTTCATTGTTTACAGTATATAGTAGAGAAAAATAAAGATGAATTAGAATCTTTAAAGTAAATAATAATGGATAGGATATAATATAATGATAATAATTTACAAAGAGCTTAATTATTATAATCATCTTAGTTAAATAACTATTTATTTCTTAGCTATTATGTTTTTTGCCTAATATTCTATGGTTAAATACCTTTTAAACTAAATATTCTTTATAAAATTTAATAAATATTTATCTAATGAAAAGGCAGTTAATTAGTAAAATTTAAATAGCATTTAGTCTTAAATTTATTATATATAATAATAAAATCTAAAATAAATAATGTAACTATTTATATAAAATTCTAACAATTAAAACAATACTTTTATTTATATTATTTTAATTAATATTTTGCTATAATTAATAAATTTATTTGAAAAATATTATTTACTTATTGTATAGTATTTAGACAATAACATGCTGTTTTCAATTAAGGCCATTTGATAGGCTCATATTGTATCACATAAGTGACAAAATCTGGCTATCAAATTGCTGAAATTGAAAATAGCAGAGTATTATCTAAATACTATACAATAAGTGTTTTATTATATAGACTCACAAGTTTACACTATTAAATAAGTTTATTTCTAGTCAATTTTAATAATTTAAGTTTTTTTTCTACAATACACTTTTTCTTTTCAAATTTCAACATAAAAGTTCTGTAAAAAAATAAGGTCAGTATTAACTGTTTTATATGTTTTTAAATTATATCATATATTTGTAGTTATTTATTTTATGTTATTTAGTTATCTTCTTCGATTATTTATAATAAATCTATAAAGAAACAAAAAGAATATTTTAAACATAAGTCTGTTGTTAAAAATACTTATTTATCAACAAACAGCTGCTTAAAAAATTTGAAAATTATTGCGAAATAGTTAGACTGGCTGGTATTTATGAGAATATCACTAACTTAAAAGACTTGAAAGAATAAATATCTGATTATATTACAATAATAAAATAATAAAATGGAGAAGAATATCTAAATATATATTTCTCACTACGACCAGTTGATTTACTTGATCAAAAGCAATTTCTTGATTATATTTGATACTTGATGATAAATTAAAAGAATTAGCTGAAGTTAGTAAAGGCATAAAAAAGGAATCTTCAGCTCTTACTATTAAGAAATATCAACAGATTTTGCAATCTTCTATACTTACTCGAAAAACTCCATTAAGACTTTTAAAAAGAATCTTTTTTTATAATGCAATTTTTCTTGGTCTTCATGGTGAAGAATATTATAAATTAAAGTTTAGCCATTTTTATAAAAAATATGATAGAGGTTATGATGTAAATATTACTTGATCAAAAATAAAATAAGGAGGTATTAAAGATTCAATAATAGTTCTAATGATAAATTACAAATTTCAGATTATTCAAGTATTATTACAAATTATGATTTATTTTTTATCAAAAGTCCTATTGATGCAAAAGAGAATTTTTATTTACAGGAAATAACTAATGAAAATGGTAAATAATATAAGTAATTTCAAAAATTTAATAATAATATCATTTATTAATTTAACTATTATATTTTATTAGTATATATTTATGAAGGTAGATGGTATTTGAAAAATCAAATAAGAAAACTTTAATTACAAGAATTCCTTCATAATCTTGCAATTGAATGTGAAATTTCTGTTGAAAGGAGAAAACTTACTAACCATTCTGAATGTAAATCAGTTTCTTCATTAAAGAAGTTAAATTTTACAGATATTAAAGTTATGTTTGTATTCCAACATAAATCTATAAGTAGATTAAAGTCATATGAATGATCAAATGAAAAATTCTAAAAGTTTTCATTAAATAGATTAGTTCATGCTATTTTTACATTTAGTATTATCAAGTTTTTATATAAAATAATTATATATTAATATATTAATTTATTTTTGTATACAGATTAAAATACTTTAACATCATGTAATACTACTTCAATGATCAATGATAAATAAACCTGATTTGCAAGTAATGAACATAAACAGAATAGTAGTAAAACATCTAATATAATTTTAATATCTAGCTTTCATATTGCATTGCAAGCTATTAAAGATGCTATATTATTTATTAATATTATGTTTTAATTATTTAAAATACTTATTTTTATCTAAATTCTTGGTAGAAAATAATTCTTTGCAATAAATTAATATGAAAAATGATAATAAAGTAAAAATACAATTCAAGAAGATAAAAATATTTCTAACTTAAATGTTGATTTTAAGAGTTTTTAAGATCTTTTTAAATAAAATAATACTAAAGTTACTTTTCATAATTGTTCATTCAATTTTAATATTATAAAAAATTAATAGTATTAATATATTTGTATAATATAGCGAAATTCAATTATTATATATATTACTAATAAAGCTATTCAATAAATATAAAATTATACATAATGTAATCATATAAGAATATATAATAAAAACTTTTATTTACTATTTCTATTTATAATTTTACAATAAAAAATGTCAACTAATAGATATATCATGATCTTTTGAACTGATTTTTAAAATTTAGAACCCAAAATAAAATATTTTTATTTATAAATATATTAATAAATAAAAATAAATAATAAAAAAAGAATGATAAAACAAATAGAATAAATAGAATAATAAAAATAATAGAATAATAAAATAGAACAATAAAAAGAAATAGTCAATAGAAAAAAAGAATAATAAAGTAAATAGAATAAAATAGAACAATAAAAAAATAAAACAAAAAAAACTGAAAAAGACAGTTTTTCTAATAATTAATTAAAAAATTTATGATTTTAAAAAATTATTATAATATTTTAATCTTTAGTATTTTATTCTAAATTAATTTCTTTTATAAAATAATATAAAATCTCTTTAAAATTTATTTTAAGGAAAAATTATATTTTACTAATTTATGATAGCTTTAAATGATATTTATTAATAAATTAGAAAAAAATTAAATATTAATAAAATATTCATTTCTGATTAATATGTTGTGACTATTGAAAAGGCTCTAGACAAATTCAAAAATGGTAAATGGATTTACTTTTTAGTGAAATGAAATGTAAACTCATGAGGTTACAAAATTCAAAACTTTTTTATATAGGTAAATCTAAACATTACTGATTAATATAGATTTTTTTATAATATAGATAAGCAATTTATAAAATTTTAAATTTTTCTTAATTTATTTTCTTTATTATTCTATTTTAATAAAAAAAAATTAACTCTATAATTAAATTTGAAAATATTTATAAAAAGTTTAAGTAATTTTATTTTAAAATTCATTTTTAGCTTCAAAATCAGATTATTATTCTTTAAAAGTATTTAAAATAATGAGTAAATGTAAACAATATAATATTTCATTAATAACTGTAGAAAATTAGACAAAGAATTACATTATGAGGCATTAGGACATTATTGGTTGTAATCATGTAATGATAATACATTATATCCTATACGCTTAAGAATAAAAACTCTAGTTACACTTAAGAAAACTGACTTTATAATTACTGTAGTCAAAGAAAATTCAGTTTTTACCTTTCAGCTTGGCTATATATGTGAAGTAAAAGGTATTATTAGTTCTATTGATAATACTCCTTCTGAGGTAATTAACTTTTTGTACCAGAGATTATTTAATTCAAAAACTTGATTTTCTGATCTATTAATATATAGTTATAATAATAAGGAAATTAATAAACAAATTTTAGATAATATTCCTTTTAAATCTTTTATATTAATAGTTAGAAAATTATAAATATTTATTAGAATAATAAGAATTTCTGATCATAAAAATTTGAAATACATAGGTCTAGAATACGTATCATTTTTTATTTATGCAATTGGTGAATAGAAAATACAAACATTATTTGTACAAGAAATTTACAAATGATATTGTTCAGTAACCTTATATTAAAATGAGTAAAATGAGTTCATATATATTGGTAGTAATCCCAATGATATCTTGAAAAAAGTCAAATATTATAAGATTTGGATAGAAAAACTCTATTTAGAATTAATCATAAGAAAATCAAAAATTTTATAAATAGACTTTGAGCACTTGCTTATACAATTAATGAATGGAACAATAAAATTATAATAACACAATTATATAGATATTATTTATATAAATTTATGCCTGCTAATATTGCTTGGTATGAGTTTTTACTTAATTGGAAAGAACAATAATGTAATATAATAGAACTATACAATACTCTTACACATATATATCCAGATGGGTATCAGTTTAAAGAGAGAGAATTTTGCATTTGAAAAGCATTATTACATAGTATCAGATATACTAATATCATACTATTTGACAAAATGAATCAAAAGTAAAACAAAATAAAAATATTTCAAACATATTATTTATTTATTTTTAATAACAAATATTTTTTTTTTTAGCAAGAATTTTGGACTAAAGCTAAAAATCCAATTGATGATAAAAGCATCTTTCTTTATTTATATGAAAATAATTTTCTTGATATATCTCCTTCAAATTCAGATAAATATTCTAACCCAAATGAAAACAAATTTTGATCTTATTTTAATGAATCTCTAAAAATAAATCAAAAAGGATCTGATAGAAAGAAAAGAATTTTATTAATAACTGCAAATAATTTTTCCTATGAAGAAATTAGAACAAATTTATCGGTTAGTTATTTCAATTTACTTATTGTATTTCATGAAAACTATTTTTTCTCATTGAAATTTCAAATGTAGGTTACTCCAACTACAATTCTTGATGCTTGTAAATATACTAGATTAAATGGTTCTGATGCAAAGCAAATAGAAAAACCTATAAAAATAACAACCAGATTATCACAAGAAAAATTAGAACAATTTAGCAATTTTTTGAGGACAAAGCTAATGTTATTATGTCTCCCTATAAAACAGATACTAAAACTCAATTACCTGTTTTCTATTTAAAAAATATAAAGAAAGCGCTTTGGGAAAAATTCTAAAAAACATATTCTAATAGTTTGAAAAGAACAACTTTTTATCATCAATTGGAAGGGAATTGTTATCAATATCAGGAAGATATGAAAGGCTTTGTACTATTTGTAATACTTATAAATATGAAGTATTTGGATATTTGAAAAATCTAATTCAAAAAAAAATCAATTCAATAGAACTTCAGATAAAATTAAACAAAAAATTGATATATAAATATAAATAAAATACTTACTTGAAATTCTATTCTAGAATCAATTTATCCAACGTGTTGAACATTTATAACATTACCTAAAAAAATCATATGAGCAAGAATTCAAAATATTAGAGAATGGTACAACTGAATATAATCCTTGCATTAATCATTGCTCATTGCATGCTTTTGAAACTTATGAAAAATTATATACTTAAATATGCAATGAATGTCAAGAGTTATTCACTTTTTTATTAACTTCAAAGAAATTATCAATTCAACCACTCATAATGACTTAAAAATATATGAAGAAAAGCTAATCTACTACCTTTCTCATTAACAAGAAAAGTATATTTGAATTCTCAATTTAATGTGACAATAATGAAGTTAAATAGAAAAGGTGTAATCTTATTAGTAGATTACAAAATGAAGATCTTACTGCAAACTACAAGAGAAACCAAACAGGATTTTACAGTAAGAAAGGATGAACATTACATTCTGTTTTAGTTTATACAAATCTGATGAGAACATTCAAATCCATGTTGAAGCTTTTAATAAGTGGTCATGTGATGCTAAACAAGATGCATGGTTTACTGCATCATCTTTACATGGTGTAATTGAAGCACTTGATAAGAAGCCTAAATGGATAAGTATTATTTCAGATAACGGTCTACACTATCATAATTCTGAATTGATAATAATATTGAATTATTGGAAAGAATGGTATAATGTGAGAATAAATAAATGGATATTTCTAGAAACAAGAGAAGCAAAAACTTCTATTGATTCTCATCACACACAGGTATATGTATATAAAATTTTACTAAAATAGTTTCTTATATGAATTATATAAATTAACTGTTAAATTTTTAGATTTCCCATTTAATTAAAAGGCAAGTAAAATTAGAATTTGAAATAAAAGATGGTGAGAATATTCAAGAAGCTATCGAAGGTATTGCTGGAACTTATGTAGCACATTTAGAACCTGATAAAGATAATGGTAAATTTGTTTTATTAGAAATAAATTATTTGATACGTGAAATTATACTAATATGTATATTATGTAATAAATGAAAAGATAAAAAGGATAAAACAAAAATAATTCCTGAAATTTCAAATTATTCTGAATGGAGATGGCCAGAAGAAGAAGGACTAGATGGATGTATACAAGCAAGAGCTTTACCTCATATTTATGAATGGAAAACCTAATTGGACAAAAAATGGAATATACATGCCACAGCCACAAATTTCATCACACACCATGCTAACGTCATCTTGGGAAATTCCGATGCCACATAGTTTAAGTGTGTATTTTTGATTTCTGTTATTCTTACACAAATAATTAAAAATGAATTGGATAAGCTGCTCGTTTCCAGATATTAGTGTAAGACAGCTAAAGGGAAAACAATTGCAAGAAGAATTAGAAAATCGTGGAACAATAGTAGATGAAAGAGAAAATCGGGATGAAATGATAAGAACTTTAGAATATGAAATGGCAAAAGAAACACAGTCAAAAAAAATTGGTAGATTTAAAAAAGGTGATTTGGTATAAAAAAGACACCAAATAATGGATTTTTATTATAGGCGGTACATCAGAAAAAACTCTCAGCAATAATACAAATACATCACAAACTAGGTAAGATATAAATTATATAAAAATTCAAAGCTATTTAGAAAAAAGTCTAATGCTTGTCTTAACTGATAGTAATTCTATAGATATAAGCATGTTTCCTTTGTTATGTGGCTGGGCTTTGAAACACAGGTTCAGGAAAAAGAATCGCCCCACAGGTTGTAGCTCTATTAGAACATTTCTTTTTGGATGGAAATATTCATAAAAATAGAAGAATGAATGGATATACCATGCGAGAAAAACTAGTTGAGAAACAGGAAAGTGGTGAATTAGCGCAAGATGTTGAAATTCCAGAAGTACCTTCTATTAACAATTGGATAACAAGATTCGCTGCAAAATCTAAAAAAAACTTATCTGAGCAAGCTATAGCTAGTTCTTTAACGGTTTAAAGCAAAAATTGTTGTTTCCTGTCATTTTAAATTACCAATAAAATAGCGAGAATCTCACGTTCCGGGTGATTAAAGTCAAAAGTTTTTGCTTAAATGTTTTCGATAAATTTATAAAATAAAAAATTTAAGTTTGGCCACGTTGTAATACAGTTTTTTTTCGATGTTACGCATATTAAGTTTATTTATTACGTCATGAACTATCGCAATTATAGTCACGTTATTAGATGATCGACATAAATTTCACCAAATTTGACTAATATTTTTTATGGTTCACCGGCGGATCACGAATTAACGGTTCCAATAACTTCTAAAAAAATTCGAAAAATTATGACGATCCGGATGCCTATAACAGGAATTGACCGAACAAATGAAGTTTGTGATACAATAAAAATACAGAGTCGGTAACATATTTAAAAAGCTAAATTTTGAAAATTTATTAAAATTAAAATGTTTGCATTAATAACATTTATCATTTTTGCTACTATCGCTTATTACATACATGCTAGAAATAAAATACCAAAAGGACTTGAAGGTATTCCATTCATTTCTACGTGGCCTATATTATGGGCATTTTTTCGACAAAAGCATCATGATGAAATCGAAGATACGATTGCAAAATCTTCAAGAGGTTATGATATTTATTTGGTAGTTAAATTTCATACATGATATACATTCTTAATTTGATTTATTCTTGAATCATTGATTTCGTAAATTTTATTCTTAGAGCAACACTTTTGGTCGAACAACCGTAAATATCAATAATCCTTTGTACCTTAAGGATTTCTTAATAAAACTCGGTGAGCATAAAAAATGCAATGTTATTTCTAATTTTACCACTCCACTTATCATTAAATTCTTTTATAGAGAATGATGATCCTCCAAAATTTAAATTGAATGTCAGAGGAGCTTTGATCGAGTTTTTCGGTGATGGTTTAATCTTTTCGAATGGTGACGTACGTATATATACTTGACATATGATACTCAATATTTTATAATGATCGGATTCGTTTGTATTTTATAGAAATGGCGAACTTTTAGAAGATTAGCCAGTCCTGCTTTCAATAACGCCTTGTCCCCAGATATCGTTGGTGAAATTACATTTGATCTTTTTAATCTCATGCAACATAATTTAAGTAGACCGATTGATATATTCGAAATTATGCAACGTATTACAGTCGAAGTGCTTGGACAATTGGCATTTGGATATCGATTTGGTGCAAGTATTTATTTCTTAACATAACAATATACAGAATTTTTAATAATCAAAAAAATATTCGGGGATCTTTGTTTTTGTTTAGTGCTTGAATTCTGCCGAAACTCCTCATATCATAAATGTTTATAAATATATAATTTCAATCGTAGAATCTTTTTATCAATTAATATTTCCATGGTTGATTAAATTACCAACAGCTCAAAATAGAAAATTCTTTGAAGCTAATAAAGAATTTAATGGGTTCATTTCGGATATTATTAAGGCAAAAAGAAATGATGTTGAAAATCTGAAGGGTTCTAATAATGGCCGAATCGACCTGCTAACAAGTATGCTGGAGCTTAGCAACAAGGAGGGAATTCATACTGATTCAAAGCAATTGAGAGATGAGATGGTGGGTTTTTTCGTTGCAGGCCATGACAGTAAATATACTTTTCCTTTACTTTATTTATTTATTTTTTTATTCTTAATTAGTTAAATATATTTAATAATGATAATTGTATGATAACAGCAACTTCAATGGTGTTAAGCAGTTCGTTATATTTTCTTGCAAAATATCCGGTAATCATCTAATAATTAAATATTGAGTTGATTTTACTTTGATTTGTAATAATCTTTTTTTTATAATTGAAATTACATAGGAAATGCAAGAAAGAGCACGTGGAGAAGTAATCAGTGTACTTGGAAATGAAGCAATTATTCCTACAACGGAACAATTAAAGGTAACTACAATTTTTTCTCATTTTGCAAATCTACTTAACTAACAATTTTTCTTTAAAAAAAGGAAATGAAATATATCAATGCAGTTATTAAAGAAACCTTACGAATTTATCCGCCAGCCGCAGCAATAATCCCTCGAAAACTAACAAAGCCAATGAAAATTGGTCCTTATATTCTACCAGCGAACATATTATGTACCATGAATATTTGGCAAATTAATAATAATCCAAAATATTGGGAAAATCCTGAACAATACAATCCTGAAAGATTTTTAAATGATGAAAAGATTCACCCATTTTCTTGGATTCCATTTTCTTCTGGTGCAAGGAATTGGTAAGTTACTATTAAAAGAAGCGTTTATGATAAATTTAAATCCTTTATTTATCAATTACTTTGTTTTATAATTTTAAAGTATTGGTCAAAACTTCACTTTAATGGAACAAAGAGTTATCATTTCAATGCTTTGTAAGGTTATATTTTTAAAACAAAGTTTATTTATTTATTTATTTATTTTTTTCGAAATATTAATTAATGTGCTTTTTATTTAAAAAAGTGCTTAAGTATAAATGGACCCTTCCTGAAAACAGCATTAATAAGAAAAAGTTGTTGCTTGAGCCTCAATTTTTATTAAGGCCTGTTGATCTAAAACTTGTGTTTACTGAAAGAAGCACATAATTTCTTTAATATATGTTAATAAATCTGAAATAATAGCAGTAGCAGAAATGAATATGAAAATAAAATTTGTTAATTTCATTTTGTTTAACTCTCTTTTAATGTAACTAGTGATCCTTTCGCAATACATTTGAATTATTGACTTAACTCATTTCTCATGTTGACATGAAAAGTTATTGATATGAAGTTTCTAATTCAGCACAATTTTTAAGAGTCATGAAATGTATAAATAGCTATATCTAAGTTCATTAAATGAATATTAATTTATTACAAAACTAATGTTCAAAATTCAATAACGAAAATATTCAAAAAGTATATACTATCTATAAATTTAGCTATTTCAAATAAATAATTTTTCTTTTCATATTATTTTCAAATAAAAAATTATTCTTGTATCTTTATTTCCAATCTTAATACCAAACTGAATAAAATCATATGTAATTCCTAAAAGAAAATGTGAAATTATTGTGCATTATTAATATTAACAACTAGATCATGTTGAGATGCGGCGACTCTGTCACCGCTAAATGATCTTTTTCTAGGTATTATCTATTGTACAAAATTTTATTTAATTATTATTATATAATTCTTTTAATGTAGGAGCATTTGAAATTGGTTCTATTATAATGTATAAATATTCTTTTATTTTGAATAATTTGTTTTTTATTTTTTTTTAATTTAATTTTTTTTTTTTTTATTATATTTTTTCCGATCTTTTTATTTTTATTTTTATTTTTTTATTTTATTTTATCCCCCTCCGATCTTATTAATTTTATCTTTTTTTTAATATTTTTTTTATTCGTCTCCCCTCCCCCTCCCTCGTTCTTTTTTTTTATTCATTATTTT